CAATACATAAACATGGACTCTCTAAAATGTTTCTTTTGGAGGACAATTTTACTGACTCAAAAAAAAAAACACCCCACAACGACCTGTAAGTCTTTTAACAGGCTGTATCTAGCAGTAAATCCTTTAACAGGCTGGGTATTTTGTTTTACTTTTTCAAAAAGATCTGTGCATGTTGTGCTGTGTTTGGGCTTCTGCCAGAAGTCCCCGGAGTCCGTGGGAAAACACTTCCATATGCTGTGGATAACGTTCGGCTTGCGTTTTATTGCACGCAATGTGATTTCTCCCACACTTCCTCCAAGAGATCCATTGCTTGCTTTTTGTGTGTTCCAGCTCACAAGGATGATGTCATTGGATGTCGCAGACAGCGGCCGTGTGTATGCCGCTTTCTTAGTATACTTGGACCTCTTAGAAGGTAAGTTAATGAAGGTCCTTTTCTGGGACAGCCTGTGAAATAAAAATAAACTGCTAAGATGCTTCGTTCTGGAATAAGAAAAGGGCCAAAGGGCCAAGAATGCCCTTCTCATGCTGTAAGGAAATGTGTGTGTGTCTTGAGCCCCGAAACACTTGAGGATTGGGATCCTGGCCTCAGGTCCACTTAATGTCTGCAGGATTGGATTTGGACTATTTGTGCACATAGAACTCAGCAGGAGATTGGATTTATACCCCACCCTTCTCTTGGAGTCTCAGAGCGGCTTACAAACTCCTTTCCCTCCCCCTCCCCACAACAGACACCCTGTGAGGTAGGTGGGGCTGAGAGAGCTCTTTCGAGGACTGCTCATGAGAGAACAGCTCTGAGAGAACTTGTGACTGACCCAAGGTCACTCAGCTGGCTGCATGTGGAGGAGTGGGGAATCAAACCCGGTTCTCCCCGATTAGAGTCCACATTCCTAACCACTGCACTAAACTGGCTCTTAGATGGGTACTGGAGAGGGGCTGGCAAAGTCCTCCTGGTCCCTTGGGTTCTTTGCAGGCTCAGCCAGATCTGTGTAGACCTCTTGTTGGTTTCACTAGAACATTACAGGTATTGCAGCTCATTGAGAATCAGAGTAATGGGCGACTAAAGAAAACATACAATATACATAGCTGGTCTTGACCAGTCCACGCCTTGCTTCTTATCACTTTCAAAGCTTAGCTTCTAACATGGCTATTTTTTCCCCATAAAGGCATGGCATTTCTCAGACTTATGAGTGCATGAAGCTGCCTTATACTGAATCAGACCCTTGGTCCATCAAAGTCGGTACTGTCTACTCAGACTGGCAGCTGCTCTCCCAGCAGAGGTCTGTCACATCACCTACAGATCCCTTTAACTGGAAATGCTGGTGATTGAACCTGGGGGCTTCTGCATGCTAAGCAGATGCTCTATCACTGTGCCACAGGCCCTCCCCGTATGCCATCTATGCACAGACAGCCATTCCAACATCCCCACCCTTTATTGGACTATGGCTAGGTGGAATCTGGCTTGGCTGGAGTCCCTACTCCCATGAAATTGATAGAGTGATCTTGGGCTGGTCATCGTCTCTCAGCCTAACCTACTTTAGAAAGTTGTTAAGATGGAAGGGGATAGTGCAGAGGGGGGCCTCAGCTATTTTGAAGGAAAGAGAATAGTGTACTAGCAAAGACAGGCCCTGAAGGTATGGAAGATCTATTTAAAGTGGATAACATCGGAAGGAAGACAGGACATTCGGTGGAAGATTCAGACTTTGTGCCCGTGGCTGTGAATGAAGGACCAACAAACAAGGGGTAGAGGGAGGGAGGGGGGAATTTAACGATTATGTAAAGCAAGGAGACAAAATATATGATGTAATATATAGAAAACTTACAAAAATAAACGTATTTAAAAAAAAAGACAGGCCCTGAAGGTATGTAACATCATGGCCTTCAAATATGAGATTTTTTTATTCAAAAGTAGTGTGGGTGAAGATCACAAATCACAAGATGCCATAGCCATAGTCCCACTGTACACACTGCATTGGTCAGGCCACACCTGGAGCATTGTGTGCAGTTTTGGAGGCCCCATATCAAAAAGGATGTGGACAGAATGGAGCAGGTGTAGAGGAGAGCAACAAGGATAATCGGGGCCTGGAGACCAAGCCCTGGGAGGAAAGGCGGAGGGACTTGGGAAGGTTTAGTCTGGAGAGGAGGAGGCTGAGGGGGGACATGATTGCTCTCTTTAAGCATTTGAAGGGCTGTCACTTAGAGGAGGGCAGGGAGCTGTTCCCATTGGCAGCAGAGGATAGGACTTGCAAGAATGGGTTTAAATTAAGGGCGGGAAGGTACCGGCTGGATATTAGGAAAAACATTTGTACAGTAAGGGTTGTGCAACAGTGGAACCAGCTGCCTAGGGAGGTGGTGAGCTCCCCCTCACTGGCGGTCTTTAAGCAGCAGCTGGACAAACACTAGTCAGGGGTGCTCTAGGATGATCCTGCATTGGGCAGGGGGTTGGACTAGATGGCCTCTATGGCCTCTTCCAACTCTGTGATTCTTCTATGAAGATAGATCCTTAAAAGTCACATCTGATTGCTTTTTATTTTCCTCCATGCTGTTTTTGTCCGGTCTCTGACATACCGCTCAGCTAGAAACTGGCATGAGGTCTCCTATGTTGGGCTAGCAGAATTCCAGCTCGTATGTCTTCACGGGCGCGAGAGAGAAGGTGATGATTTACAAGTGGTGGTGCCAACTCCAGCCCACGTGCCATTCAGCCACGAGAGGTGGGTAAATATACACGGAGCATTCCACGTGCCATTCAGCCACGAGAGGTGGGTAAATATACACGGAGCATTTCCTTTTGAATTTGCAGCCAAACAGGTCATCGTTCAGAGCTGTTTGTATATCGCAGTGAGTTATAGAAGCCAGAAGGGTTGCTTGTGGGTGAGATTTCCAGGGGCTGTGGGCATGCCTTCAGTGGTCTGCACAGCTTCTGGCCCTCCCCCATGCCTCTTTTATGCAAAAGAAGATAAAATGTTTTGCACAGTTAATACACATCGTCGAATTGGTAAGAACATAAGAACATAAGAGACGCCAATGTTGGATCAGGCCAAAGGCCCATCCAGTCCAACACTCTGTGTCACACGGTGGCCAGAAATACCAGGTGCCATCAGGAGGTCCAGCAGTGGGGCCAGGACATTAGAAGCCCTCCCACTGTTGACCCCCCCCCAAGCACCAAGAAGACAGAGCATCACTTGCCCCAGAGCCCCTATCTATACCTTGTGGCTAATATCCACTGATGGACCTCTGCTCCATATGCTTATCTAATTCCCTTTTGAAGCCGTCCATGCTTGTAGCCGCCACCACTTCCTGTGGCAGTGAATTCCATGTGTTAATCACTCTTTGGGTGAAGAAGTACTTCCTTTTATCCGTTCTAACCCGACCGCTCTGCAGTTTCATGGAGTGCCCACGAGTTCTTGTATTGTGAGAAAGGGAGAAAAGTACCTCTTTCTCTACCTGCTCTTTCCCATGCATAATCTTATAAACCTCAATCATGTCAAGTGCTTTAACCTTTCCTCATAGGAAAAGTGTTCCAACCCTTTTATCATTCGAGTTGCCCTTTTCTGCACTTTTTCCAAAGCTATAATATCCTTTTTAAGGTGTGGTGCCCAGAATTGCACACAGTATTCCAAATGAGGTCTCACCATTGATTTATATAGGGGCATTATTATATTGGCTGATCTGTTTTCAATACCCTTCCTAATAATCCCCAGCATAGCATTGGCCTTCTTTATTGCAGTCACACACTGTCTCGACATTTTCAGTGAGTTATCCACTACAACTCCAAGATCTCTCTCTTGATCAGTCTCTGCCAGTTCAGACCCCATCAATGTGTATTTATATTTAGGATTTTTGGCTCCAATGTGCATCACCTTGCACTTGGCCACATTGAACCCCATTTGCCATGTTGACGCCCACTCGCCCATCCTTGACAGATCCCCTTGGAGTGCCTCACAATCCTCACTGGTTTTCACCACCCTGAACAACTTTGTATCATCCGCAAATTTAGCCACTTCACTGCTTACTCCCATCTCCAAATCATTAATGAACAAGTTAAAAAGCAGTGGACCAAGTACTGATCCCTGCGGTACCCCACTGCTTACCACCCTCCACTGAGAAAATTGCCCACCTACACTCACTCTCTGTTTTCTATGAACTAGCCAGTTTTTGATCCATAAAAGGACTTGTCCTTCTATCCCATGATTTTTGAGCTTACTTAGGAGCCTTTGATGAGGAACTTTATCAAAAGCTTTCTGGAAGTCAAGGTAAATAATATCTATTGGATCCCCCTTGTCCACATGTTTGTTCACCCCCTCAAAGAACACTAACAGGTTAGTGAGACAAGATCTTCCCTTACAGAAACCGTGCTGAGTCTGCCTCAATAGGTTTTGTTCATCTATGTGCCTACTAATTCTTTCCTTAATAATGGTTTCCACCAATTTACCCGGTATCGACGTCAGACTGACTGGCCTGTAATTTCCCGGATCTCCTCTGGAACCCTTTTTAAAGATGGGAGTGACATTAGCTACCTTCCAATCCTCAGGAATGGAGGCAGATTTTAAGGAAAGATTACATATCTTTGTCAGGAGATCTACAAGTTCACATTTGAGTTCTTTCAGAACTCTCGGATGTATGCCATCTGGGTTAGTGAGACAAGATCTTCCCTTACAGAACCCATGCTGTGCCTGCCTCAATAGGTTTTGTTCATCTATGTGCCTACTAATTCTTTCCTTAATAATGGTTTCCACCAATTTACCCGGTATTAACTTTTCTTGGTTTGGATTTTTTATACGAAAAAACCCCAAGACTCATTCTCAGGAGCTGGATGGAGCAGCCTGTGTATTACTCACCCCCTGCAGGCACTTCACTGGCTGCCCATCAGTTACTGGGCTCAGTTTAAGGTATTGGCTATCCCATACCAAGCCCTTCATGGCCCTGGACCCTCCTATCTGTGGAACCACTTCTCCCCCCTCTGTGTTCTGCCATGACAGCGTCACTTGTCAGAGCTGGGCCTTCTACAGGTGCCAGCCTGCAAACGGGCAAGATCAACAACTGCCTTCTCCGCTGTGGTCCCCACCTTGTGGAACAGCCTGCCTGAGGAGGGCAGGAAGACTCCCACGTTCATGGCTTTCCGCAAAGTATACAAAACGGAATCCTACACAGCCAGTAACGTTGCACTGTTCTAAATGACTCACAGAGTTACTTGGGAAAATTAGGAGGGACTACGGTCTATCCTGCTGTGTATTACTTGCTGAAACTAGGATCCCATAATGGAATTTTGCATCGTTTAATGTGTCGTGTTAATTATGCTAATTAGTTCCTGCTGGGCTTTTTCTACAATAAAAGCCCTGCTTGTGCTTTGCTTCAGTTCTGTTTTGGGACCATGGCAGATTGGGGACCTGACCCTGGACCAGTTACATATTGCTGAGCCTGGCCTACCTTACAGGGTGGCTGTGAGGAAAAAACAGGAGGGAGAGCAATGTACACCCCTAGGGTTGCCAGCTCCAGTTTGGGAAATAACTGGAGGTCTTGGGGGTGGAGCCTAAGGAGGGCAGGGTTTGGGGAGGGGACTCAATGGGGTATAATGCCATAGAGTCCACCTTCCAAAGTAGCGATTTTCTCCAGGTGAACTGATCTCTGTCGCCTGGGAATCAGTTGTAATAGTGGGAGATCTCCAGCCACCACCTGGAGGTTGGCAATCCTATCACCCCTGTGAACTCCTTGGAGAAAGGGTCAGATAGAAGTATACTAGTTAGTCTGATAGATAAACAGTAGGGCCCCAAGTGGGCTGGGGGGCCCTCAGTTGCCTCACCTCCACCTTTAGTGGGAAGTACACTCAGGTTTGCCAAACTCAAGGTGGTGCCTGGAGATCTCTCAGAATCACAGCTGATCTCCAACCCCAATTAATCAGTTCCCCTGTAGAAAACGGTGGGCTCTGTGGTACTATGCCTGACTGAGGTCCCTTTCCTCCCCAGGCTCCACCCCCAAATCTCCAGGAAATTCCCAGTCCCAGAGCTAGCAACCCTAGCTACAGTGCTGAGCCCTTTTTGCTAGGTGGACTTTGAAACTGAGAAAGCTGAAGTTTTTCACATGCTAGCAGGCCCGTAGCCAGGATTTTGTGGCTTGTGAAACAAATTTTTTCCCGGTGGGGCTGAAGTTCTCAGTGCAGAAAGAAAAGCCATTTAGCCAATAGAAAGCTGTTACCAGGATAGATCTCTAAATTGCAAGCTGTCAACCACTTTAGATGACAGTTCTCGTCTGCTGCAAGTTAATCATTTCTGCCAGCCTAAGCAACAATTCTGATAACAATCTGGCAGGAGGGGGTGATGACTGCTTTCGTTAAGAAAGCTTACACTTGGGCAGAAAAATTTTCTTAAAGGAGACCAGTTTCTTGACAGAGAGTTAGAAGGGATCCTAGAGGTCACCAACTCCAACCCCCTTGCTCAGTGCGGGAATTAGTCCGCTACAGCACTGCACTCTGCTTAAAGGAGCGCATGCCTTTAAAAAAGTGTTTTAACATGATTTTAAAATGCATTTACAGGAGAAATTATTGTGAGGCTGTGCCTTTAAGAAAGGGGGCAGAGCTCCCCAAAGCCCCACCATAGCCATACGCCTGCATACTAGTTTCTGGATCTAGTATCAGTTTTGTTTCTTGTCTGTCCCTCAGTTTGATTATTTACATTCCTCTTTTCTCCCCAATAGGGACCAAAAGTACAAAAAATCAATAAAAACAATTAAAAAACAAACAAACAGAGAAAGGAAGAAGGGCCTCAGCAGACCAGGTCTTCTTATCACTCTATATTAACAGATCTTCCTTGAAACTCTGATTTCTCCAGGCTTTGACCCTCAGGACAAGAGCTGTGAAGGATAAGAATTCTTTGGCTTTTGTCCTTCTGTTCATGCCTCTAGGCACACCCAAGCTTCAAGTTAACTGTGGCAGAGAAGAAACAAACTCAGCCAAATTTTACTGAGCTGTTGTTAGCCGGCTAGCAAGATCTTCCCCGCTTCCTGCTTATGTAAGGCAGCTGCAGAATTATGAAATAGACAGAATTCTGGAGTCTGCCCGTACAGGCCTTCTATCTCCTTCAATAGTTTCCAGATCTGTGTTGGTCACAGTGGCCATGTGCGCAACTGTGCCGTGCTGCCCCCATAGCCATCGGGCAGGCTCCTGCAAATCTGTGTAGAAGCCAGTTTTTATTACTGGAGCGTGTTATATAATGTATGCATCTTCGTCTTTAGCTATTCATTCACGTCATGTTTCCATAAATCTGTACGGTGGGGACGCTGTTTGCTCTGTCTCTTGGCATCCGAGTGAAAGAGATGCATTCTTGGAATGGGTGAATGAATTACATTGATGGAAAGTCCGGTTTGTGACCAGCCTTTCCTATTGAGCAAATATGCAACGTGTGATTTCTCTCAAGCCTGCTCTGTCCGAGTTCGGTTCCTAGCTGCCAAGTGACTTCAGTGAAGCGCTGGTGCCAGTTCTCTTGTGTGGCTACGGAAGGGCTTCTGCGTATCATGAAGTCCACGGCACTGGCCGTCACCTCTGCTCCCCTGCAGCAGCATCCAGTGCCTAAGTGCAGAATTTGGATTTGTGGCATATGAGGGCAGGTCTTCAAAACAGAGAAAAATCACGGCCCTGTTGTGAATTTACCATGCAAGTGGAAGCTTGAATGCTCCCTTAGATGGTGAAGTCTCATATGTTTTGAGTGCATCCAAGCTA